TAGGGGGGTGGAGAAGAGATAATTCATTTCTGTAGTTCAGTGGTAAGCTTCTTTAACAAAGCCAAACCTCATGAAAGCGAAAGAGGTACACTTAACTATTTCTTCCAAGGGCAGCTGCTTGGTGTTAAATGCAAAGGTACTTTGTGAATCCATGTTATCAATGTTCAAGGACCTTTTACGTAAGAATTTAACGAATCTAACTACGTTGGTCTGGGCATTAAGTGCCCAGCATTATTAGCACAGTGGAATTGGCTTCATTTGCACCAGTAGCTGAACAAACTGCATATTTCAATGTAAGGCTGTGACTTACATAGCTGTGAAATGCAAAAGAAGCATTTTAAGTACTGCAACTTTCGCACCATACTGGAGTCCATCGTGTGAGCAGCTGCATCTGTTCCAGGGCAGTGTTTGCTTTGGTATATGGCTTCATTGGTCTGCTTTCTGATTTTAAAAGGGCAAATAAGTTTTTTTCCAAATTTAATGCTCATATGCTAATGGGGACAGATTTCATGATCTGATTGTACTTTGTTTTAACAAGAAATACTTTAACAAGAAAAGATAGTCTTCTCATACTTACACAGCATGTTAAAGTCTTCTCTATCCAGGCTTTTACTGAGGTAGAGAAGTCCTGTTTTTTCTCTGATTTGAAACCAATTATTTTCATGTGATCTTGCTCGAGAAATTATGAGATTCTGGCAGAGATGAAAGTGGGCCACTTCTCCATGTGAATCCCTCAAGGTGTGGATGCGCAGGAGTGGTGTACCTGCTGGCTCATCAATGTAAACATTTTCCAAGTACTCTTTCCTGGGGAAGTAGAGACCAAAGGCAGCTGCAAAGGAAGGCACACAAGAGGAGAGGTGCTCCCAGTTAAATGATTTTCGTGCTGGCATTTTCTTAAAAGATGCATTTCCATATAATCAAAGGCTTCATTCTCTAAGGATTAAAGAAGTGTTAAAAAGATGTGGAAGAAAGCAGATCCGTATCTGGTGTATATAAACACAGTTCTACGGCACTCAAACCATGGGCACAGCCACCAAAAATCTGGCCTATGATTTACGTTCAAGTTACAAAATCATCTGAAAACTAAACTGCTTTGCGTTAAACATGACCCAGTTTAAGCAGAACACTTAATCACAGAATCACAAAATGGTTTGAGTTGGAAGGGACCTTAAAGATCATCTAGTTCCAACCCCCCTGCCATAGGCAGGGACACCCTCCAGTAGACGAGGTTGCTCAAAGCCCCATCAATTAAGCTCTACTTCTCAAGTTGTACTTCAGTTCGTATCTGGAGCTCTCAGCTGTAATTCCATTATCTCACAGATTATATTCAAAGAAGGAAAAACCTTTTGTTGAAATCACGTATTTTAAAAGCCTAAATGCACACTCTCTGTTGAGAGAAAACACAGAAATACAGCAATGCCTTGCACACTTTTCCTTGGATTACATAAAACCTCTCTTATAAGGAAACCTTTTGTGGCTCCCTCTCTTTCTAAGCAGCATGATACTTTTGGTTCAGAAAAAGGGAAATGTTTAAATAAAATTGATATGAAAGTCTTATAAGTATTTTAAATATGACAGAGGGGAAGGCCGAGAACTGACTTGCCTGAACTGGGGAGGGAAACATACATTTACTTTTAATACACTGGCTGTGACTGACCCATTGCTCCTCTCCGATTCCCTCCACCTTCTGACATTTACATCTAGTAGGGCTCAACTGTGACTTGATGCCTGTTTCGTCAGATGATCTCATCTTACCAGGTCACTTTCAATTGCCTCTCTCCCGCTTTCCAGTACTTCTCTTCCAATTCTACTGCTTGAAAATATGATCACAGTGGAATGCTTAACAAGCAAGAAAGGTACAAAGAGGTGCTCGTTGCCCTCATGCACACTGAAATCCTGGAACTGTTGCTCACGCACACTGAAATCCTGGAACTGTTGCTCTTGCACTTCACCTGCACTGACAGTCAGTACTCACTCCCATAGAAAAGAATACTTGGCTAGCGAAGAATTTTGAATAGTTTAATCTGATTTGATAAGGATAAGGCATATAGAAGATATAAGCATCTGCTGAACAAATGAAAATAATAACAATTTTCATATGTTACTAATACATCATAAATCAAGCCAGTTACAACTGGAAATGATAGTAATACAGCAGTAAAATTAGGGATATAATGCCAAAACTTTTTCAAAATACAGCATCAGGCTATAGCACGTATTTATGGTTTTTAATTATTGGATCCATACACTGGTCTCCTGAATGGATAGGACCACAAACAAACTGTAAACAAGAGACCTCTAATTTAATTTGGAAATACCACAAAACCCACTGTACCTTCTAATGATTCATGACATCATCAGTATCCCTGGATGCAATTATATCCATAAGATTTAAAGAGGCCCATTATTTTTTCTACATATATTTTGCAAAATATGAATAAATTGGTCAAGTAATTCAGATGAATTTGCTCCAAATTAATTAATTCAAAGGGAAGCCAACAGTAATCTTCTGGGCAGTTTTAGAAAAGCATTAAGTCCTGATGTCCCCTGTCTTGAAGAAAACTACTACTTCTGATTTTGGTGCTATCACCATCTTTTTTTGCAAGTTAAGTTTCCTGAACATCCATAATAAATTCCAAATATTTTCCCAGTCTCTCTGTCGTTTTTTGAAGCGCAGGAAAACCTGGCAAATATTCTCTGCTAGAAGTCCTAACAAACTGTTTTATTAACAAGAAGGGTAAAATAATACCCAAATAGCAAGCCCAGTCCCAATGCAAGCACATAAATTTCCTTGAACTATTTTCCATAAAAATCTGATCTTAGAAATATGAAAACTTCCTCATAACAAATCCAGCACTGAAAATTCACTGCTCAAGACTAAAAAATTACTTTTAACCCACTGATGCAAAGAAATGAGGCTTATACAAAGTTAGTTACAGGACAGAGAAATATTTCCTTATTTCTAAGGCTGGGGTGAACAGTTCTAATGCCAGCGATGCTGTATACTCAACATCACAAACACATCACACAGTGCAAGAACTGGCACCATGGCAGAGACACGAAATCATCTCCAGTAAAAGGAGCAAATAGAACGCAGAGTATATATAAATAGTATGGACAGGTAAAGTGTGAAATTGAAAAAGAGCAACCCAGGATATTTTAAGTTGGGATTAATTTATTTCCTCATCTTACACAAGTGTGTTAATTTTTCTATGCTTTGCTTTACAAATCTGGGCCCACATTGCATGTTATTATGTACACAGCCATGTTTAATGAAGCACATGCATAATTATTACAGACATTGCCACCTGAATGTCTGAAACTCTGCATGCAGCTACACCTCAGCAGAGGTCAGCGTCCTGACTGCTCCTCATCTGAAAGAATAAGGTTAGTATTTATGCTGCAGACTCTGAAATTCTTTGGCATCAGTTCACAGGAACAGTCTTCTCTGTTCTCAAGAAAAAAAGGGGAAAAAAATCTGTAATATAAAAATCTGATTTCTCTGTAGGTAACAGAAATGCGAAACAATGATTTATATTTTGAAAGAGAAGGATTGCTTCATAACATAACAGAATGTGCATCACTGATTAACCAGAAATGTTCTTCATAAATTGAAAAAACACTTTAAGAAATCAGTAGAAGCCACTTTAAGAAATTTAAAGTAGAAGCATGATCTTTTTCTCCCTGATTCATACCTGAAAGCTGCTGAAACTGAATTCTGTCCATCAAAAGTGACAGTTTTTAGTACAGAGCATATTTCTACATTGAGGACAACACCTGAGGATAATTTTAAGTGACACCAGTGGATATGAAATACTTTCATGTTTTACTTAGAAAATGAGCATTTGAAGAGACTTTACAGCACTGTGGAAACTTAGATGGTAAAAGAAAAATATATAAATTGGATTTAGCCATGTAACAAGATTCATCCAATGCCGCTGATCTTGAAATTGTTGGAATCTTGTAACAAGGTTCACCCAGTGCTGCTGATCTTGAAATTGCTGGGATTTTGTAATGTGGTTTGTCACTCTCTAACTCTATTTCAAGCACTGAAAGAGATGAGAGGTATGTAACAGACTGCCCAGGTCAAACCCACACTCTGCATGTAAATCTTTGGAGGCTGATTTTGTAGGAGACCTTTGAAGTAGAAACGTAGCACCCACTTCTCTGAGCTGTGTTCATTCCTTTAAGCCATAGTAAGTTAAAACCAGATTCAATAAACTTGTCATCTGGCAAGTATGCTGCAGGAGGAAGAGGTTCTAATCCTGGCCACAGTTCCTTGTGCCCTGAAAAAAAAAAAATAAAAAGGACTTGTGCAAGCTTCCTATGGAAGCCAGATGGAGTTTTTTATTGAATCTGCCATTTAAATAAAGAGGAATTGAGCTGGTTACGCTCAAAATTGATGGCTAAAGTACTTTTGCTTAGGAATTAAAAGCAGAGAAACCTTTCACGTTACAACCTTGAAATACACCACAAGAAGGTTGTCTTCTGTAACATACATGAGTTACATGAGAGAGAGTTACCAAAATATTTTGGGATCTCTTAACTTTTTTCCAAGAAGACACTTCAGTGCTTTGTTCTGCAATCAGCACAGAGAACTCAGCAACCTCTGATGGATGAAAAGTATTATGCGATAATGGCATATCAGTAACACACAGAAAAGTGATCATGTTTAGGCAGATGTAATGCTACTGAATAATAGCTCCTACAGGAAATAGATACAGCTATGACAGCAGTTTTCCAGTTCAGGGAGAGAAAGCAGATAAAATGAGAGTGGAGAAATGAGATCATACATTCTTAGAAGACTTCACTGCCTTTTGATATAAGGCAATTTTTCACATGCTTTTTTTCAGTCATGGATGATTAGGTAAATAATGTCTTTTTTGATACAATTTTTTTTTTTAATTGAATTTACTGTAGAAAACTTTATATGTTCTTAGTGCTTTTAACCCTTGCCACCATAGCCTTGAGTAGCATTGGTGGAATAGTCTTGATGAAAACTGTGAAACTGACTACAGCAACATTATACTCTTACCATCAACCACAATGATGAAAAACGTAGTTTAGCTTTTTAGTCACAAAATGAAGTGACATGAAATTTTTTATTAGGCTAGAGGAAGACACCACTGTAAGACCTTCTCCCAATCAATGTCTGTAACCATCTTTCCAGGTACAATTGCAGACTTAAGAAAAACTGTTTCGAAGTGACTTATCCCAGTCAGAAGATTTGCTCTGGTAAAGGACATGCTTAGATAACTGGAAAACCATCTCCGGTCCATGTGGATCACTTGCAGAGCCTCAAAGCACATTAGAGATGGTGAGAAGAGAGGGCAACTAGCACACACCAAGGTCACTGGTCAGGAGCATCCCATCACCCTGGTCCACAAGACAAACGGTCCATCCATGACATCCTCTTCTGAAGAGGAGCTGGTGCAGATTGTAGCAGTAAGGGAACTGCTGGTCAGTAAAATGGAGCAGCTAGCTCACTCTTGAACCTGGAATTGAAAACCTAAGAGCTAAACACAGAAACGGTGAAAGCAGAGCGCTATTCAAATTCAAGGTTCTCTACTTAGCCAAAGCATTTGCATCAAGCTAAGTAGACATATGTCTTATGTAGTTCATAGTGAACATTCAAAGCTTAAATGACCACTGCTTGATTTAAGGCACACCATGTATTTGAAGAAAAGGTTTGCTCTTGATTTAAAGACTTCAACCGACTAAAATCTAACATATCTCTTTAAAGTTCTTCTGGGTTTCATTACTCATGTAATCTGAAAACTCTCTCTCTAGCCTGAGTGCTTGCTACTTTCCACCTTCTTTTTACCAGTTCTTGTCAAAAGTTACACTTTTTTCCAGTACATGAAAAATCTTTACAGATCTCTTTCAGTGC